TCCTGTTGTGCTTGCAAGAAGGCTTCTTGCAGGTTTCGCATCTGCTCTGCCAGCATGGCGACAGCATCTTTTCTCTCTTCAGCTGGTTAGCCAGCTTTCTTCTTCTTCGTTCGCCATCGTAAATGACAAACAAACCAATCTATCGCAATAAGATTGCTATATGTCCGGGTTGTCGCAGTCGTGCAAGTATACACACTCGCAACGGCTGCTAGCCCTCGGAACTGATGTTGCCGCCACACACACCACACACCCTCCTACCCTGTGCGGTCCCTCCACCACCCCTGTTCCAGGCAACCTCATACCCTTGAGGAGTGGGGGGAAGAGCAATGTGTGAGACAGAGAAGAAGGGGGGGGGGGAGAGGGAGAGTTTAACGTGATTGTCGTTTATAGACACTAGCGGCATTGTATGTAAAATTGGCGTTGGAATAAAGTTCTAATCATTCCGACAGTACTCTTAGAAAGTAACTATCCCTCCAAGGGTATCTCCATATAGTCGAGCTCCACAACCCATCGATGCTAGGTAAACATAAAATGTTACGGTAAGTAAGAATTGGTATTATTTTTGTTGCATTTTCCATGTCACGAAGCCGTATCGTAGAAACGTAACATCACACTGTAAAATCATGCGTTTATTGGGCTGTTTGTTACTTTGAATCCCAAACAAGCATGAAGGAATATCCGGCAAAATATTACGTGATTTTTTTTTTTTTTTTTTTTTTTTTTTTGTTTCCCCTGATCCGATGATCTCTATTTTTTTGTTTTTCTTCAACAAAAAACGAATTGTGTGGCCCTGAGAAGGGCCGATTTCTAGTTTTGACGTTATTTTTTCATTTTATTATTAATTATTATATTTAAGAGGCTTTTCTTCTGTCCTGTCTTTTTTCGGCAATAGGACAGCCTGAATATTTCGGAAGAAACTCCGCCTTGGGCGATAGTTACGCCCCGGAAAGTAACTTGTTTTAATTCTTTTCTTCAATCATTCCTGATTGCTAACTGCAGATGACGTGGAATGATCCTGGTTTTTTTTTTAATTGTCGCGAGCAGCGTGGCCGGCCACTCTAACACTTCGGCCTGCCAAGTACTCCATAAACGGCGGCAAGGTAACACAGGAGCTCCGGCACCGACGCGTTTCGGCATAGTTTCCTTTACACGCAATAATCTGTGTATACGACCTACAGGGAATTGCAAAAACCGGCCCCCTACTAGACCTGGATTTTTGCCTTTTTTCTTTCTTTTTCACTTTTTTGTTCCCTTTTCCTCGTCCGGACAATGTTTTATATTTTATTGTTTATTATTTTCTTTTTTTGACTTGCGAATCGACGAACTACAATCTGCCTTGTCGTTACCGAATTAATAGAATAGAATGGCAATGTCTTTAGGTACGAGTATATTTAATAACTAACTACTCCGACCAATCAACCGTTTTTTTCGTTGTCGGTCCACCCGTAAGGGGCGGAGTCCTATGTCGGTAACGTCGTGGCTGTTAAAGCTCGCCGTTTATCCCGCACACCTTTTCCATTATAGATCACGATATTGTGTCAGTAAAGATCGTACTTTTGTGTGTAAATCGAAACGCGATGGCCACCCAAAACTAGCGGTAAAGCAGCTAAAAAAGCCGGTAAGGCCAAAAAAATATTTCAAGTCTGATAAGAAAAGAAACGCAGGAGGAAGGAAAGCTACGCAATTTACATCTACAAAGTGCTGAAGCAGGTACATCCAGATACCGGTATTTTCCAGCAAAGCGATGAGCATCATGAACAGCTTCGTCAACGATATTTTTCGAACGTATCGCAGCGGAAGCAATCCCCGATTGGCACATTACAACAAACGTGCCACGATAACTAGCAGAGAAATTCAAACAGCCGTTCGACTATTGCTACCCAGGAGAATTGGCCAAGCACGCCGTCAGCGAAGGTACCAAAGCCGTAACCAAGTACAACCAGTTTCGAAGTAATATGTAACTACGACGACAAACAACAACATCACACAACTTACAACATAAAAACGGTTTCTTTTCAGAACCACTAAAGTTATCAAGTAAAGATAATGATATCACCGTACGCGCAACATATATATTATTGGTACTTGAATACCAGATGATTATTCGTGATATACATACACCACTAAGCAATAACGTCTGATATAAGACCCGACCGGATTATTTAATGGTAAACGAAAGCGTAAAAAAAGGGGATATCCTTAACGACGCAATCGACTGTTTTAACGTTTCATTCGTTTAATTAAACACAATACATACTTATTTATATACCCTTAAAAAGCAAATATCGATGGTGACGGACGCCTAACATTACCACTTTGCTTATAAATACCTAAATCGTAAACGAATAATACCTACTCGAATTTATAAAAAAAAAAAAAAAAAAAAACATCAAACGCACGTACGAGCCGCAGTTTGTACATGTAATTTCGATACAAAATTGCTAATTCGTAAATATTCTGTATCCTTTTTATAGTAATAGTGGTGGCCCTGAAAAGGGCCATTTTTCAATCCGCGGGGACGTATAGCATCCTCTCGCATAAATATAACGTCTCCGAACCGACGTAGCCGTAATCTACGACGTTTTGCAACACGTCTAAATTTTTTTTTTTTTTATTTCTTTCTTTTGGGTGAAGCGGCCCTTCCTTTTTGGGCGATGTTGCAGCCTTCGCCGTTTTTTCGGTTTTGGTGCTTTTTGGCCTTCTTGGTCGGAGCTCCCTTGCTGGATTTCTTCGCCTTCGAAGGAGATTTTTTTTGCAGCCGCCTGCAGAAGGTGCAGCAGAAGAAGCTTTAAGGCCGACGTCCGCCGATTTCCCACTTTTTTCTTTTGTCTTAGCTGGAGAAGCTTTCTTCTCGGCCGCACCACCGGCCACCGCCGGTTTCTTAGCCTTCGGAGATGCCTTCTTCGCAGATTTCGCACCGCTAGCTCTCTTAGCTACGGTTCCGCTCTTCTTTGAGCCGGTCCGCGGATTTTCTTCTTCTTTTCGCCAACCTTTGCGGCTGACGATGATGAAGTTTTCGACGCTCCGCCAGCCGATGACGAAGCTAGCTTGAACGATCCGGAAGCTCCTTTGCCTTTCGTCTGTACTAAAGCTCCAGACGCGAGGACGATTTTAAGTACCCTCTTGATGAAAGGCGCAACTTTCTCAGCGTCTACTTTGTAATTAGCGGCTAAGTATTTCTTTGATAGCTTGCAGAGACGACCCGCCACGCTCTTTTAAAAATCCTTTAATTGCGTTGATGACCATTTTCGCTAGTAGGAGGATGAGACGGCTTCGCCCTCGGATTCTTCGGTTTTTCCCTCCTTTTTTTTTTTCCGCAGACGACTGCGACGTCCGGGCGACGCAGAATTCGCGGTAGCCGTAGCCGACGCGGCGTAATTCCTGGTTTTTTTCCGTAATCTGCCATGTTTTACGAGTCGTGAAGAGGAGACAGATTATTGTATACGCGCGCGATCTTTTGCAATCACTGATCGACGATCTCGCTAAGAGAACGAATGTCGAATGAATGTGAGAGGTAAATTCAGCGTCGTGACCCAAGTCATTTTCGTCGGACCGAACATTGAAACGCTCCGACTTTGCAGCGAAACCGATTTTCGACGGCTTCAATTCTGCCAAGCCAGCCTGCGGTCGTATCTGTTGGTTTTTTTTTTGAGTCGCTGATATAATTGCATACGAGCAACAGCTAAAACCTGAACGAATAATGAAAAATCTGCATAATTTTGAAATACACATTTAACTTCGCGACTTTGATCACGTACGCTAACGTACACGATAAAATTATAAGGTGAAACGTGCAAGGTATACCTCCGCTTTGGACCTAATCGTCCGGCTTTTTTGATCTAATTTATATTATAATAAGACGAATTTACGTTTATATAATTAGATATTTCATGAAATTAACAATCTACTACGACTATTCGTAATACAATTATACTGTCGGTAATAACGGCTAATGGATAAGGTATTTTAGATAATCGCAATTATAAACGGAGGTATGTCCTGGCGTACATCCGAACGTGCACAGTCGCGAAATATATCGCGATAATTTTTAACATTACCTCCTGTAATATGACAAAATAGATAATAATATGAGACATCAATCTATTATTCGTAATAAATAAGCCAGAGTAGAAAAATATTATATATAAATACGAGCGATCGAGTTATAAATTCATCTCCTTACTACATATTAATTATTAGACGTACGCATTACTGACTTTTGATCTACGTGAAAGTACCTAATAATGTTTACGTATTACACGCTAACAGCCTGCCTAAACGCCTAAGCAATATATACGGCAAAATATCTATATTATGTCGAATTATCTACATTATAATCACATGCTACTTATAAGTTATTTTTTACTTCCCATACACATACATACAATTCGTACGTTTTATAGAATAATATCAATGTAACGGTGTTTACTACAAGCACCACAATCCTTCGATATAGGATAACGGGTAATAACTAGCGACTATCGTATAACCATTTAATTTAGCGCTATTTTGCATACACGATAATAGTGTCGAAATTGCACGCGTACAAACAACAATCTGATATACTTAACATAATACAACGATCCCCTTTTCCTTTTTGAACATACTATATGATGGTTTTCTGAAAAGAACCGTTTTTTTTTTTTTTTATAAACCTATTATCGCACGCCGTACTCTCTCTCTCTCTCTCTCTCTCTCTCTTTCCGGCAAATAGTAAATCCGTCAATTCCCATTAGGCACGTTCGCCCCTAATACGTCTTGCCAGCTGTATATCTTTTCGGCATGATCGTTACTCGCTTAGCGTGGATCGCGCCAAAAGTGCGTTCGTAATCCTCGAATAGTCCGACCAGGTACGCTTCGCTAGCTTCTTGGAGTGCCATTACAGCAGAGAAACTTTGGAATCGCAAATCGGTCTTGAAATCTTTGCGCTATTTTTCACGGACCAGCCGTTGGAAAGGCAATTTTCCTGATCAACAATTCGGTACTTTTTCTGATAACGAACGAATTTCTCTGAGAGCCACAGTTCCCGGACGATAACGGTGAGGTTTTCTTAACTAACTCCGCCAGTAGCAGGAGCACTTTTTACGTTACGGGCAGCCTTCGTGCTAATTGCTTCCTGGGAGCTTTTACCTCCGGTGGATTTACGAGCCGTCTGCTTGGTACGCGCCATTACGTTAAATTTCAGATAACTGAAATATAAATTATTATATAATAGCAGCGACGTGAATATTGCAACGGAACAATATTATAGTGAGCGGAGGTAAACAAACCGCGAACAGTTATATTTATATGGGCCTCGAAATACGAAACAGTCTGATTGGCCAATTGATAGACCAATAGGAGGGACGACAACGCTAACAAAACCGGGCGTCACGAGAGACGTACCGTCAGTTGGCAACAGCCCGTTCGCTTTAACAGTTCGACGTGCGAGAGAATCTTGAAAAATGACTGGACGCGGTAAAGGTGGTAAAGGATTGGGAAAAGGAGGAGCGAAAAGGCATCGTAAAGTTTTTGAGGGATAACATCCAGGGAATTACGAAACCGGCCATAAGAAGATTGGCGCGACGTGGAGGAGTAAAACGTATATCCGGATTGATTTACGAAGAAACTCGAGGAGTGCTCAAAGTCTTTTTAGAGAACGTAATCAGGGATGCAGTCACTTACACAACCGAGCACGCTAAAAGGAAGACAGTCACTGCAATGGACGTCCCGTATATGCATTAAAGAGACAAAGGACGCACTTTGTACGGATTCGGTGGTTAAACACTCCGCAGCAATTACCACGGTAACAGGTTGAACGAAAATACAATACAAAAGAAAAAAAAAAAACGGTTTTCTTTTTCAGAACCACCATATACTACTCTCGTGAGAAAGAATGGATCTGCCGATTGAACCGCCACATTAATTTTCTATTTTTTTTTTATTACAAAATAAAAGAAACACTCCACATAAATGAGTTTATCGGAATATGAGAATTGATCGACTTATACGTTTTTGGCTCTTTGAATTACAATAATCGACGATTTCGGTCCCGATATGTCCCATTAATCGAGATACCGGCGAATATTAGACGTGAAATGCGACGATGAGATGCCTCGATTAAATAATTTAGGTTATTGCCAACACTTCTCGCGCCACAAACCGATCCGATATCACCCTGAGAAAATTTTCCATATACAAATGATAATCCCTTCATTTTCTTTTAAATTACTTGTTGGCCCTGAGAAGGGCCGATTGTATGTTCAGAAGATTTTTTTTTTTTTTTTAGGCTTTCTTTCTTCCTCCGTCTTTTTTCGGCAAAAGAACAGCTTGGATATTAGGGAGAACTCCTCCTTGGGCAATTGTGACGCCTTGAAAGCAATTTGTTCAATTCTTCGGTCGTTTCTGATGGCCAATTGCAGATGACGTGGAATAATACGGGTCTTTTTTTATTGTCGCGAGCAGCGTTTGCCTGCCAATTCCAAAACTTCAAGCGGCCAAGTATTCCCATAACGGCCCGCTAGATATACGGGAGCTCCGGCCACCGACGCGTTCAGCATAATTCCCTTTTTCCGCAATAACCTGTGGATAACGACCGACGGGAAATTGTAGGCCGGCCCTGCTGGATCGGGACTTTTGTGCCTTTTCCCTTAACTTTAACTTTTTTTCCGCCTTTCCGCGTCCCTGACATATTCAATTTGTTAATCTGCTAAACGAACGACGTCGACTATGAACTTGCAATGCACAACATGATCTCCGCGAACGTTGTATTTATATGAACTAACCGACCAATCGACGCGAACGTTTTGCCGGCAAACGCCTGGGGGCGGAGTCTACGGTCGTAAACGTCACCTGTCTTAAATACGGCCCAGAGAATTGCAGTCGTTCCGTTAGTCGAGCGTTGGTGTCCGATTATACTCAGCACATCATCACAATAAAAGCCACCCAAAACTAGCGGTAAGGCTGCCAAAAAAG